TGGCCTAGTGGAATGTCAATCGGGGGAGGTTTTACCCTACTCTGTCTGTACACACCCACAGCGGCCTCTGGATTTTCCTCGTCTATTCCCACCAGCACCAAATGGTTCTTTTAATTGGGTATGCATTGTCCCAACCCCGAGAACAGCGTCGTCAAGGGCGTACTTATCTAGAAGGGAAAAGGGAGCGGCTTTGCAAATGTTTGACCTGAGCCAAAACCTACCCTACGCAGCTGATGGAAGTACTCCGACACTGAGTTATCCGTCCTCGGCTTTTCAAAACAGTGTTTCACTTGGACTTCTGATCCCCCTGCCTCAGCTACTTAAGTACTCTGGATGACAGGCATTCACCATCATGCTAGCCTGGGTGCCTACCTCTTTAAGTCCATAAACGTCTTTGGTTTTAACATTTCAATTGGCCGTTTGCTTTCTCTGTGACCGATATCCAAAGGCTGTGTAGAACAGGACACTTCTACTCAACCAGCAGAGAAAATACAGGCTCCCAAGCACAGCTTCTTTATATCAACCTCAGAATGTAACAAAACAGCTTGGCCCGGAGAACATGGCCAGGTGAAGAGAAAATCCAATTCTTGCCGAGCTGGCTTTACTATAGTTCTGATATCTCAGTCTGCCCATGAATCTCCAAACAACACGGTCCCAACAAGAGTAAGTGTATGACGGTAGCTGGGGATGGGACTCGAAGGTGAAGCTGCCTGCCTGGCATGTGAGGTCCTAATCCTTGTGTGTGAAACCCATGATATCCAGTCAGGAGCTAGGAATGGAGTTCAGCATTGGGGAGGTGGAGCTGGGACGATCTGGATTGGAGACCAATCTGGTGTACACGAGATCTTACCTCAACTACCACCACCAAACAAGTGAACAAGACCAATCCATACCTGAGCTTCAGATTTCCCCCTTTATTATTTGTTTGTGGTTTTGTAGCGCTCAACTCATGTGGTTCCGACTGTCCTTGAGCTTGCTGTGTTGCTGAGAGTGTCCTGGAACTCCAGCTCCTCATGCCTCTAGCTCCCAAGGCTTGGATACCTTGGCCATCTCAGGCTTCACTGTTGAGATGATTGGAAACATTACTGACTCCCACAGTATTCCAGCCACATAATGTGTTTGTGCAAACTCTGAACTGCCACTAGGGCCGAGGCTTGTAAAAGCCGAGAATCACTTCCTTTTCATTTTTCCCAGCACCTTGGCACCAGCTTCATAGAAAGCGCGCCCATAGACCCTTGAGTAAACAGAACTCTTTGGGTGGAATAGACGTCTTACTTCTGGTACATTTCCAGAAGTGGCATAACACGAGAAAATCTCTAAGGCACTCAACACACAAGACGTCAACACTCATGACAGAGCGGACCTGGGATCCCAACTAGATGAACCACAGTAACACAGGAAGTTCAAGGGCTACCCGAGCTACAGAGAAGAGTCGGGTCAGGTCGTAGCAACTTGGAGAGTGCCTGTCTCAAAAAGAAGAGAGATCTGGGACCTAGCTGGGTGGTAGAATGTTTGTCCAGCGCGGGGAAGGCTCTAGGCTCCACTCCGGTACAATAAAAGAAAGCAAGAGGGCAGGAGAGGTGGGGAGTGGGACGTGTACGGAGTGATGTCGTAAAAGTAGGCGTGGCCTAAGACCGGCAGAGGCAGCCGCTCCTCCAGACCCTCCGCCATCAAGCACGCCGGCATGGCTTGCGGCGTTTAGTTTGCCTGATCTTCTGTTTAGGAAAGGACTACAGCGTTTTCACCAGCAAAAAGGCTCAAATGTTTAAGTTGATTCTTTAAATTCTCTTGGGATTATTTTTCCAGATGAATCACTGCAAGACAGTTTGAAGCAGTGTGGATGGGTTTTGGATTGGGGAATCTAGTTATGCCTTCCTAAAGTGCTGTTTTGTGTTCTTTTATTTTATTGAAAATAGACTTCTTTCATAACATATATTCTGATTATGGTTTACCCCTGCTCCCCTCCCTCCATTCAGATCCAATCCCTTTCTGTCTCTCCTTAGAAAACAGGCACCTGAGGAATAATAGTAAAATAAAATAACACAAAAACAAGCAAATCAGAATATGACAAAACAACCAAAAAGATAAAGAGCTGAAGAAGGACAAGAAACTCATAGACGCAGACACACATGTTCTCTCTTTTTTGGGGGGGGGGGTTCCAGACAGAGTTTCTCTGTATTGTTTTGGAGCCTGTCCTGGAACTTGTTCTGTAGACCATGCTGGCCTCGAAATCACAGAGATTCGCCTGCCTCTGCCTCTAGAGTGCTGGGATTAAAGGTGTGAGCCACCAATGCCCGGACACACATGTTCTCATGCACAGAAATCCCATAAAACACAAAAGTGGAATACATAGTATGTATGCAAAGGACCTTGTCTCAGTTAAGGTTTCCACTGCTATAAAGAGATGCCATGACCACAACTCTTGTAAAGGCAAAACATTTAATGGGGTGGCTTACAGTTCAGAGGCTCAGTCCATTATAATCATGGTCAGACTCGAAGACAGACACGGTGCTGGAGAAGGAGCCGAGAGCCCTACGTCTTTGATCTGCAGGCAACAGGAAGTGAACTGCTTCGCTGGGTGTCGCTTGAGCATATGAGACCTCAAGGCCCACCCCCCACAGTGACACACTTCCTCCAACAAGGCCACACCCACTCCAACAAGACCACACGTTCTAATAGTGCCACTAGTCTGTGTGAGCTCATGTGTACACCAGCCCTGCTGTGTCTAGAAGGCCTGGGTTGCCTGACGCCCTCCATGTCCATCCTCTGCTTTTACGCTTTCTGCCTTCACTCCTGCAGTTCCAGGAGTCCCGGGGGGGAAGCAAGTGTCCTCTGTGTCTGTTTGGTCTGGCTGTGGGTCTCCGCATTTGCTCCCAGCTGCCGCAGGAGGAAACTTCTCCTCTGATGATGGCTGGGCAGGGCATGGATCTATGAGTGTGTAAAATGTCCTTCCGAGCCATTTTGTGGCTTCGTTCCTTTAGGAGAACAGTAGTGTTTGTTTGTTTTTCCCCCTAGATCCCTGGGCTATCTAGTCTCAGCTTCTTGGCCATCACCTAAGCAGCATCAGGTATGGGTTCCATCTCATGAAGTGGGTCTTAAATCAGACACGGGTTGGTTACGCCCACAAGCCGTGTGGCCGGCCCTTTCACAAGTGTAACTTGCAGGCGGCGCACATTGTAGAGCAAAGGTTTTGCAGCCAGGTTGGTGTTTTATGTTTCTCCTTGGATGGTGTGAAGGGTACCCTTCCAGCACCATGTACGCCAGGCCATAGGAGTGGAGGCTCTAGCTAGGTGCTAAATGAGTAGTGGATGTGTCCCTTATTGGTTGATGAATTAAACACTGTTGGCCAACAAGGCAGGAAGATAGGCGGGACTAGGAGATGAGGAGAATTCTGGGAAAGGTGGCAGAGGGAGCCCCGCCAGAACAGTTGCCATGTAGACAGTCAAAGGAGAAACAGACATGGAAATACACTGATTAATAGAAATGGGTTAATAAGCCAATAAGAAGCCCTGGCCACCGGCCAACAGTTTTATAACTAATAAAGCATCTGTGTGCTTATTTGGGGCTGAGAAGGGCAGTGGGACCTGGTGGACACGAAACCTTACAGCAACAGAAGCCTCTACTGTATGAATTTTCCATGCAAGCTTCAAAGGGCCTTATTCTAGCTGTCCCTCCCTGTACCCCCTCCCTCCCACCCCTCGCTGTGCCCCTCCCTCCCTCCCATTCTTTGTCCCCTTCTGTTCAACCTCCCTGTTTCAGTCCCCACCACTCCCTGCCCAAACATAACCATCTATCGCATTTCCTCTTCCTTGGAGATCCACCCCCCCCCCCACATACACACATACAGGCCCTTACTCTCTTCTTAACATCTGTGGTTATATGGATTGTAGCATACTTATCAATGATTTTCACAGCTAACATCCACATACAAGTGGATACGTGCCACACTTGCCTTTCTGGGTCTGAGCTACCTCACTCACAACCTTTTCTGTCACATCCATATACCAGTTAAATTCTATTTTGAGCTTTTTCACAGCTGGGTGGCACTCCACTGTGTAAACGCAACATTTCCATTGTTCGTTCTGCCTGCTAATAGACATCTAGTTTGTTTCCAGCTCCTGGGCATTATATAGCGGCGATGAACACAGTGTGGCGGGGAGAAGCGTCCTTTGGGTTTATGGCTGGATCTTGAGGAAGACCGGGCCCCCTCTTTCTGAGGAACCACCACACCAGTTTCCGTACTGGCTGTACGGTTTGAAACGCTGTTTTCCTTTGAAATCGATTGCGGAAAGTTAAGGCGACAGGACTCTTGTCGCTCAAACAAACCTGCCTGGCCCTTCAAATCTAATAGCCCCATTTCCTTCCAGTTGCCCACCCCCCTATTTCCGAATAGGGCATGTGGACAAATACTTAGGGTTACACTGAGGTCTGTTTTAAGGGTCAGCTAAAACTCACCCAAGCGAGTACCACAGCAACTCCATGGCAGCATCCCGCGTCCCTTTGTATGCTGGGGTGAAGAAAACCACTGTTCACGGTATCCTCTGGCATGACGCTGTGATGACACTTGGGAACCTACAGCCACTGTGGCTACCGTACAAGATGGGCCTGCCAACACTCCATTACCATTGGAGGGGTCCATGAGGCCTCCCTCCTCCCTAAGGAGTTATGTGAATGGTCAATTGGGGGTGGGGGGGCTCCTTTTCTGGTGTTACAACTGCTAGGTTGCCCTGCTCAGTAAAAAGCTGCACGCTGGGGAGCTCACACCTGCAAGTCCAGCCTCGGTGGGTCAAAACAAAACAAGACACGACACCAGGAGAGTCACGTTGGGAAGAAAGTGCTCAGCCCGTGGGAGGGGGGGTGGGGAAAGTGACCAAAATATATCCTTTCCATGTGTGAGATGTCAAAGAATAAGAAAACAAGTAAATGTAGAAAGAATCATGATTTCAGATTAGCAGCGGGTACAATACTTTGTTAGAATTCTATAAAAATATAAGACAATGTTTTGCTTCAGTTACATTGATTTATTTTATTTCCCTCTTAGTCCTGCATGCACTGTTAGCACAAAAACTGAAGTTGATCGCCCCCTCGGGGAGGGGGCGGCGAGCACACAGTCATCTGGGAGCTTCTTCATCAGCAGCCACCATCAGTGACCTACACGATGTTCATAGAAAAAGGTACCAAATATCCTGTTTAATGTAAACAAGGCAGGAGGCCAACAGATATTAGTGACAATATTTTACAGGGCCAGAAGTAGGATTATCTGTCTTAACACAGCAAGCGTCATGATGACATGCATATTTTACTTTATTGTACAACCCCAAATCTACAATTACCATATAGTTTATGGGTTTAGCATTTCAGTGTAACTTCTTCTGTTACACAGTAAACTTAATAACTAAATGGTAACTGTAGAGCAATGTTAATAACTTATGGAGACGTTACCATGAAAGTATGAAATCATTCTATAATTTGTGCCCTGTAAAATTAATTGTAACAATCTTTACACTAGCAACAGTGTAAGCAAGCTAAGGGTTTTGGTCCACATACATATACAGACCAAATATGGTCCATATACATATATATATACACACACATTTATATACACTCATGTACAAACACAATAATATACAGGAAACCCAAAAAGCTACGAATCCACTCATAGCTTCATATTGCACAGATACATTATGAGAGCATTACATAGTTATAACATGAACACTATAATAAAAATTGGCAACGACAAATCTGATTTTGTCAAGTGAAGAATGGCTCATTACTGAAAATAAACCCAAATACTACTGTTAGGAAGTTAAAAAAAAAAAGTGCACACCTATTTCCTATTTATCCAGACGTGAAGCAGGCTAGGGTTCAGTTTGGAACTCACCATGACAACCACTTGCTAAGGAGGTACTTTCCACCCACACAGTCTGTGGATAACAGGAAACAGCCGGTCTCTCAGACTGTGAGAAGAGTGATGTCATACATGGTTTCCTTAACAAATCAACTTAGTTCCATGACCTGTGCTGACTTTAGGTCTGAATTAAATATAAAAAAGAAATTAAACTCGGAAGAGAAGTGGGCTCAACCTAGCTGGTTACAACAACTTAAGAAAAACCCTATTCTCAGAAGCAGCACGCACGCACGTTCTCACACACACACACACACACACACACACACACACACACACACACACACACACACACACACACACCACAGTTAAAGCTTTAGTGAGCTCATCTGCGTGGATTAGCAGTGGGTCCTGCTGGGAGGTCAAGGGTGGGTGAGTATTTGGTCTGGGAGGTCACCTCATTGCTACCACACCTACTGAGCACTAGCAATGCACTGAGAGATATCTGATCCCTCTCAACGCCTTGTTTTAAACACACCTTCATCAAAGCAGACTGTAGCGACACCTAAAAAAAGGAGGTGTTGTGGTGATTCTTGCATGGACTGGTCAATAAATACAACAAAACAAACCATTTCTCATCACTCGAAGCCACGGAAGGAAAGTCATGCAGGGAGCCACTATGTCCTGATGTTACTGTTTCACTTAACGCATCTCTTCAATGAGCAAAGAAAGATTTGCATCGTGTTAGAAACGTAGAGCTGTTTTGACAATGATGATCATTCTAGAACTGAGGCCATTCATATCTTTTGGTGCTTTGTTTCTGAGTAGCAAAACTGAACTATGAAATGAATCAGAAACGCTAGTAAAACAGACATGCTCTGAGGACGTGCCATGAGCTGTGGCACACACGTCTGGTGACATCTCGGGGGGTGGGGCAGACCCCCTAGAGCTGAGCCTCCTGACATCGAAGAGGAAGAGCCTGCCGTGTACAACTTCAGGGGCAGGGACTTGAGCGGCGCATCTGGGTGACCGCACCCGTCACCTGAAGACCACTAAGATGGGGAGACTGGGTGACCTGCAGCTGTGCCCGGCAACCTGGCTAACCTAGACATTCCTGCATCCATAGCACGTGCACACACTCAGTTTCCTCAAACCCTTTAAGGTGTAAACTGAACATGAAAAGACCTTTTAAAAAACTCTCTCTGGACTCTCTTAAGACAAAAGACTGAACAAAACGAGAAACAGATGTAAACACTGAGAGGCCCTTGGCATTCTGATTGCTGCTTAAAAGAGTTATCAGCCAGTCCACACCTGGACATGACTGCTTCAGTAAGAAAATCAATTATAAAACAATTTCATAAAGCAATTCTCAGAGAGGGAATGGGGGAGGTCTCAACCCAGAATGTGCTAATTAGCTTTAAAAAAATACTATTTTAGCAAACACTACCAATGATGAGCATAAGTCCAATGCCGCAGCAAAAATGACAGTTTAAATAAACTGGGAACCACACATGAAAATCAACCACAAACATGGCTATGTGCACAACAGAGTAAAAGAACATTTCTTTTAAAAATATATATTAATTAATACTTTCTTTATCATATTAAATTGTTATCTTACAAAGCTGAGGAAGTTGATGTCACTCTGCGTGTTTTATCTTCTAGGGATTCTTTTGGTGGTTCCTCAGCTACATTTTTTTCCTCATTTACAGTTTTCTTAAATATTTTGTATGATAAGAATCTTAACCTTAAAAAGTTATAAAATAAGTGATTTTTTTTTTGCTGCTGATTAATACAAAAGAATGTAAGCATTTGAGTCCCAGAGAATGTCAAAATGCTTTGCGCTGCCTGGAAGGAGAGTAAAATAACAGAAACCAGCAAAGCCTGACATCAGGGGTCCTGCAGCTTTTCAGTCACTGGAAACGTCGTCTCCTGAAGCTCTAATTGCATCCCGGGTTTCCAACGTGCAGTTTATACAGAGAATCATGTCAGAGCCGGGGGGAAATGACATCAGGCCCGTTCACCAACAGCAGTCACACAGTGGACGCCTACTTCATTCACAAGGTTTTCTGTCCTCTCGTGGCTGGGTGTGGCTGGGTCTTCTTGGATGAAATGTACACAGTAACTCGGGTTCCCAGAGACCTGGGCGACTACGGCTGAAGCCTGGTGACGCCCACTCACGGTGTGGCGGAAGCGTGGTATTTCACAAACGCAATGGCCGCCAGCTCCTTGCAGAACTCCTCTAAGACGATCACGCCCTCCAGCAACGTGATGTGGTCGATACTGGAAAAGACAGACAGAAAACCAGGCTTACAGCACCAGGCTGGGCTGCATCAGATTTCTGGGTAAATTATGTAAAAAACCGACTAACTTACATGGGGCCTTCGGGCTCCAAGCCGAGCAGGCGCTTTCTGACCAGGAGAAGCTTGGGGGTGAAGTCTTGAATGCGCTGAATCCTTACCATGAGGTCACCAACAACCTGCGTCAGAAGCAAGAGCTCAGCTCCCGAGTGACTCCAAAGGGATGCTCGGATAGAGGAACCTTCCTTCCCGTCCCCAAAGGACCCTAAGTGTGTGTGTCACTATTACCGCTGACCAACCAACTCTTATCTACTTTTCAAAACCTAAATGTCAGGGTTGGGAGGTGACTCAGGGGGTGAGATGCTTGCTGGGACAGTGTGAGCACCTGAGCTTGGATCCCCAGCCTACGTAACAGCTGGGAGTGGCGGTGCGTGTCTGTCACTCCAGCACTGGTGCGGGACACGGGACAATCCCAGGGGCTCACTGGGCAGCTGCCCAGCAAGGGTGAGCTGTGGGCTCAGCAGAAGACCTGGCCTCAAAAACTAAAGTGGAAGACAGCGGACATCAACCTCTGGCCGACACAGCAGCACACATGGCCAAGCAAGCTGCACATGCATGCATACAGCAGGGGCCCGTGCACACGTGTGCGCACTACATAAATAAGACAATTTTAGATTTGCTACATGTATGTATGTATACCACATGCATGCATACAGCAGGGGCCCATGCACACATGCACACATGTGCGCACTACATAAATAAGACAATTTTAGATTTGCTACATGTATGTATACCACATGCATGCATACAGCAGGGGCCCATGCACACATGTGCGCACTACATAAATAAGACAATTTTAGATTTACTACATGTATGTATGTATGTATGTATGTATGTATGTATGTATGTATACCACATACATGCTTGGAGCTGTAGACTTCAGAATAAGATGGTGGATGCCCTGAACTGGAGTTAGGGATGGTTGTGAGCCTCCGTGTGGGCGCTGGAGACTGATTCTGGGCCTTACAAAGAGCTGTGCTCTTAACCCCTGGTTCACATATCAACAGCTGAAATGAATTTTCTTAACTCTGATGGTTCAGAGAAGAGCAATTATCTGCAAGCAGGAGATACACTCTGTGTCACACTAACTACACACAGTGAGACGGGATGCCAGTAGGCAGGTGATCAACCCCAGAGAACAGGATGTTAATGAACTCACCCTGACGATCACAGAGAAGAGAGATCTGCAGCCAGAGGCCAAGTTAACATAGGGATCCAGAAGGTACTCGTGGATGTGTGGGTGTGGGAAGAGCGACAGCCTGGACAACACTGATGTCACCTGAAGGTTCACGTCGTACGGCTGCGAGGAAGCAAGAGCACAGATACTCATCCTGTGCCTTCCCGACACTTCGATGTGGCCTCCCCCACTCCCCGTGCCCCTCCCAGCCTCTTCTGCAAGGGAGACAGGGGCAGCTAAATTAGCCCTTACCATGGAAGTCAGCGCACTTACCGCACTGTGCTGAAACTTACAAACAGAAAACAGACACAGACTACAGGGAGACAAAGCCTCAGTCCAGCTCACGGCTGCTGTATGTAGGCTGAGGCCATCAGACCTGCCAGCGTGTCAGATGTGGTGTTAACTAAGATCCACAGAGGACACACTGACCCAAGTCCTGATGAAGACGGCGTGCCAACTTTTAAACATAGCAGCATAACTTCAGGCCCACTCTCCACGACTCAACATGCGTGTGTAGCTCCTCAGACATCTCTTGCACACAGTACCACAACATCCCTAGAACCTGATTGTTCACTGCTGTCACAGGCCATAGGTAACCAGCATGAGAGAGAACGGTGAACTTCCGATGGAGCCCACGCACCCCTGCTAGCTCTCGCCTTCCAAGCAGACACAGGAAACCGGTGGACTAAAAACTACCTGAAAAGATGGACAAGGCAGCGTGGGACAGCCAAGAGCTCGGGGCCAGGTTTAGAGCCCGTGGACGCTTGTTTTATTACCATTCACTGGCGACAGTGGAACCAACCACCAAATCTCTGGTACTCAGCAGAACGGCAGACACGCGGATAACACAAGTTTCCCACACACTCTATCACAAGGTACCCAGAACACAGCTCCTGGCTTTAAGTTCAACTGCAGGCTTTCTTACTATGAACTCATAAACACAGGGATTTTTCTTTGAGTCACCCTTTTGCAAAATCTTGCCTTAAACAAGACAAAGGAAACGAAATCTGAAGTTCCAGTAAAGGACTGAGTTTAAAGCATGTTTTCCTACTTGTGTTTACAACAGAATAGACACACACATGCAAGCGCACACACTCATACACACTCTCTCATACACACACACACACACACGCACGCACACACAGAGCCTTCTTCAAGAGCCAGTCCATTGGCTGTGGGGATTCAGCCTGTGGACCTTATCTAGCAGAAAGGTTACTTCATGAGTGAGCCACACTGGTGGCTGATGTGTTACCTGATCAAGAATTCTTCCCATTCTGTCAAATAAAACTTTCAAAAAATGTCCTTCAAAGAAGGCTGCTTCTAAATCACACTTCTCCAGCGGTTTGGGGGCGCCCGGCCACTCCCATCGTAAACAGACGGCACAGTAGTCTCGGAACTGGGGGAACATTAGAGAGACACGGCTCGGGGTGAGACAGAAATAATGTCCTCAGATATTGTATAAAGAACCACATGATTGTCACTGCGCCTGACGTGTCAGGTGCGAGAGACGGCTCAGCTCCTGACCGGGAGGTGCAGGGGACATTACAACGGCGGTTTGACCTTGAGAAGTGGTTCCTTCAGTACCCGCTATGTCCCTTCCTTTATGGGACTGAACCCTTCTGTCATCGCGGTAGATTTGGAGAACATTTACCAGGACGGTTCAGAGCCAAAGCCTCAGTGTGTCTGAGGTGTTGCATGGAATGGATGGACAATGCCTCGTGCCCAGCACCTTACTGTTCTTAGAACATACAGACGTCAGGCATGTCACCATGAAAGCATGGAACAGTGCTCTCCAAACGGTGGTCCTTGGGCCAATGCTGACCCTCAGAGTCTTGTGACTGCCATCGGTGACAAGACTGGAAAAGCGAGAGTTACCAGGCACAGCTTGTATAATCTGACTAGGCAGTTTCCTACTGGTCAATAATTGGGAGTTTTTTTCAATCTATTTTCATTTTTCTAATAATTCATCCCCTATTGTTTTTAATGAAGTATTAGTATATGAATGCATGGAAATAAAAACTAGTTCTGGAGAGCAGTGGTGGCACCGATCTGTAACCCTGTCACCTGGGAGAGGGAAACAAGAAATCCAGGCCATAAGCAAATTCAAGGACAGCCTGGTTAACCTGAGACCCCATATCAAAAGTAGACAGATTCATAGAGATAGATGATAGACAGATATAGATGATAGATAAGGACAGATGATAGAGATAGACAAATGATAGATGATAGATACAGATGATAGAGAAAGACAGATAGATACATGATTGGTAAAGAGATGATAGATCAGAGGTGAGAGATGGCACCCAGAAGACACACAGATGGTAGAGATAGACAAATGACAGATAGAGGATAGGTAGATGATGGACAGACAGACGGATGGATGGATGATTGACATTGTATTTCTTAGGTGAGCTGCCTCCTTTCTTTTGAGTAAGGATTTCTGGCAACTGGAAGAGATAATGGGAGGGGGCAATGCATGTGCATTTTATATCCCCCACCCCGTCCCATCCCCCCTTTCTCCCCCCCAAAATCAGTGAGCCGTGTCACTTACCTGCCTATGAGCATCTCTGAGGTAGGTGTCATACCCAGTGCCCTCAACATGGTAGGATGACTTTGCTTCATCTGGTACTAAACAGAGGAAACTTGAAAGGAAAAGGCCACGATGAGAAGCTTCCACTGCTGTATCTTACACACTAAGCATCAAATTACACAGCGAGCTTAACCAGCTATAAATGCAAACGGAAACTTGGAAATCAAAGTACACATTGTTTTAATAAATGGTAGCTCTGTTCTCAATTACCAAGTAAAGGTTTTATTAAAAAAATAACTAATTCTGTATGTAACAGAAGCCTAAAAAAGACTTAATACTATTGTCCAATAAGGGGCTGCCTTACTTATTAATCTCAAAAACTAACTGTAAGTAATTTCACATTTGAGTGCGATGCAATTACTTTATGTCGCTTGCCAGGACCAGGCACATCACTGACAGCATTAAGAGCAAAGACACTAGAGAAAGCTGCCATGAAGAGACATTTTAGAAAAATGTAAAAACACAAATTGGCAAAAATACTTCAACATCTAGCACATATGGTAGTGAGCACAATTTGTCAAATTGGTGCTCGTCAATGTTGCTGTAGTTGGGAATTATGGGATACTAAGTCGTCTCTATTAGATCCTTGGTACACTTAACCATCACTCCTTTTTCAATTTTTCTTTCTTCCTCTGTTGCCGTGCTAAAGGTCACCCCCAGGAGCAGACACAGACTGTCTGTGCTCCGCCACTGGGCTGAGAGAAATCCACTTCTCTATTAAGCTGGGTTTTTCTCCTAACATCAACTGTGGCCCCAGCTGTCACTTGCTACACAACGAGAGAAAAAAGCTAACAGCACTGTAAAGACTGGACTCACGGTGACACTCCTGTGACGGCCTAAGGGCGGAGCTGTCGGATTCAGAACCAGCCATTCACACAGTGACTCACTCACCTGTTGACGATTTTATGGACTTCTGTCTTGCCATCATTTTTGGGGTGGTCTGGACTGGCATGGGGTGAACTGATCCATTCTTGATTAGGCAGAGTGTTATCTGGTGAAATGTCAGTAAATAATGGATCTTCCTCCAGATCTCTAAGTTTAATTTAATGATGTATAAAAAACAACATTTATTATGACATTTTCTAAACCAAAATATTCTTTGCTAGTTTCTGAGAAATATTACGTAATTTCTCTAATACAAAGAAATAAGGACTAATGTAATCTTCATATGCAAATCCCCACTTTACATTAACATCTCCAGGGCTCATCGCTACTTTTGTTAACGGGTTCCATGAGTATTTAGCATCTCCTGACGTTTACAAGGAGCTGGCTAAACTACCTGGGAGGGAACCCGCACACCGGCTGGGGAGACACTGTACTTACACGGCTCCTGCCATCAGCCCATTCTCCACCACATCCTTGTCTTCCGGACATAAAGGTTTGTATTCCGTATAGTTTCTTTCTTCAAGGTTTCTTAGGACCAAGTTGTAAAGGATGTGCTCGTTGGGTTTTTGTAGAAGATGCTCAAACATCCTCAGGGTCATTATGCTGATCTGAAAGCCAAGGTCGGCAGAAGCCGCAGGAAAAACCAGTCTCCCGTCAGATGCCCTTCTTGCCACCTCACAAGCAGAGGCCAGGCAGGTGGCTCGGTGGGTAACGGGGCCTGACACCAAGGGTGATTACCCGAGTTCCACCCTGGGCCACACACGGTGGAGGAGAACCCTGCCTCCTGAGAGCTGTCTCCCGACCTCTACACGTGCACTGTGACGTATGCTGCTGTGGCCACCACCCCCTCCCCCACCATCAAATCAATCTCAAGTACGTTAAAAGACAGCATTTGGAAGACTCTAAGCCCAGCACTGTCGCGCATGGCTTACCTCGTCAGATATGTGGTCACAATGTTCGATTAACCGATGTCTTAGGGGATGCCTGCTAATTTCTGACAGAGTTTCTGGCTCCCTCTGATCTCCGAGAATGAAGACCACCATTTCCTGAAGCAGGACGTCCGAGGTCACCTGCCGGACAATGCGATGCAGCAGGGCCGTGGACGACAGGATCCCCATCTCAGAGCTAGGTGTGGCGACAGACAGACAGACGGACAGGCAGTCAGAGGGAGGAGTGACGGGAGCAGTGACTACTTCTGTAGGGGAGAGGGCACTCACGTCTGCATTAGCTGAGGTTCCATGACGCCGATGAAGAACCTTTCGTGGATGGCTTTGGCGAGAGCAACAGCAGCCGTCTAGAACACACCATGAACATCATAAATCGACTTGGACCTAGAGACCACGGGCTCTCACTAGAAGCCACGTGGAGGCGGGACCCAAACCATTTGCTTTTATCCCACCCAAACCCCAGTAGCTTTGGAGTAATCAACAGCTCCCCAAGGGGAGAGCTGGAGGGGAGTCACCGTGCAGCCCTGTGAGTTGTAAAGCATTGCCTGTGACAGACAATTAAGACCCTTCTGGAATACCACCCGAGCTGTCCTTAGTAAATACATTTTAAACCGATGATCCACACAACAGAGCGTTCACACCTTTTGTGCTTCCTTGATGAGCTGGTCACAGTAATCGAACCAGGAGAGAAATGAAATTAAGGCTCGCTTCCCTGGGAAAGCCGAGGCATCTTCTTTATGGCTATATGAGTCCAACCTGCACGACACGGGCGCAAACTGAGGCCAGGTCAGGGTGCACACAAGCCGAAAGGCGGCACCTGACGGAACTCGTCCACACACAGATCAATGCTGGATCCCACCCAGAGAGGTCAGGGAGACCTGGATATGAGACATCCCCTCAGACTAAAGCTGGACATCAGCTCTCTCCTTAGGTGGGAGAGGCTGATGCAGAAAACCCCCCCAGCAGACAGTGGGGGAGCAAGGGGATGAACGGAAGGTCTGCCAATGGGGGCCGATCTTTCTGCCCTAAAATCCAATGTGCTCACGACGTTAACGAGTACAGCTGCCTAAAGACACAGCAAAACACAGTGTGGGGACAAGAGCAGAAGGGTAAACTTCGGAGAAAACAGCAAACGGTAAACAGACTGAAATACTGGGCTGACCGTGACCTAACTCAATGAGCTAAGAGGGGAGGAAGCAGGGTGGACCTCAGAGGAGCTGGGGAGAGGGTGTGCGTGTGATCACGATATTCTGTGTGAAATTCTCAAGTAACCAACATAAACATGTAATTTTTAACAACAATGAAGGTATTAGGCTGATGGTAGGTGGCATGTTTGTGACTAGTTTTAATGTTGCCTTTATTTTAAAACAATTTATAAATGTTATACACAATTCATATTTTTTGCAGATTTTTATTTCTGGTGCTTGCGTGTGTTGTGTAGAGATGTGTGTGAGCACAGGCTCTCACGAGGCTTCAAGAGCAAATCCCTGGAGTTACAATTATAGGCCGTTGTGAGCTGCCCTGTGCGGATACTGTGAACGGAACTCTGGGCTTCTGGGAGAATAATATGGGTTCTGAGCTTCAAGTTGCCTCTCTAGGCTAAAAAATCCTATTTTCCAATGAGAACAGAGTGGATGAGTTTGGAAGCAGAACTGAAACAGGGAGTTTACAGTGCAGTCACAGGACCCCCAGCCTGTCTGGGGCAAGGGGAAGTTACAGCTGGAGGCCAGCATGGTCTATAAAGCAAGACCCAGGCCAGCCAAGGCTACAAACTGTGACCCTGTCTCAAAAACAAAACAAAAGAAGACAAAGCAAAAGAAGTCCCTCTTCTAAAGATTTCTGTTGTTAACATAACAACTCGTTATTGATCCCGACATAAACCCTATAATGGGCAAAACAAAAGGAGCTGACTCCATAACCCTGGATTGTTCACATACCACTTTGTCACCCCTAAGTGACAAATACAATTTGAGTCTCAAGAAAACACTCCATTTAGTGATCACAGCAGAGCTAGCTAATTTTTCAAAACTAAGCACAGCAGAAGGAACTGAGGGATGCAGGCGCCCAGGCGGGCCCTCTGTGGGAAACAGGGCGGTGCTTACCCCCAGTTAACGGCCTCCACAGTCTCAATGTCTAAGGGATCCACCGACTGAGGCAGGGCCTTGTACAGGGAGGTGAGTCTGCCGGTCAGCAGCTCACTCAAGCAGGTGCTCTGGGCAAGGCACTTGGCAGCCGCCGGCTCCGGCAGGCTCACCAGGAGCATCAAGCCCTCACACGCCTTCACGGCTATCCGGCCATCCTGAGAAAGAGCACAGGTGTTATCTGCAGAACTAAACACGACAGGGTCCAGCATTTCTCATTAAGGGAAGAATAAACTTGTTTGGGGAGAGCAAGGCGGTGACTCACAGGGCTTCTTGTCAGGGTCAACAGAGAATTCACTAGGTTGTAATCCTGCTTTGGCGGAATGGCGGAGGCCTCTGGCAGTGAGGTGACACTGAGGTCATCCAAGCTTGCAGACAGGTCATCCATGTGGTGAGGGGGCTCATCCTCTGACTCTGCGTGTCCCACCCCAGTAGCTCCTGACAGCTCCCGAGGCGGGCGGCACTGGCTGCTGTCCGCTGACACAGGGTCCTGACTCTTGGCGGCATCTTCTGAGGTGACACCCTGAGTTCCTCTGGAAGCCAGTGACTTTGACTTGTTCTGAAAAGGGGAGTATGTCTGGTGAGGGTCATGCTCCAAGCGGAAATCATGCTACACAGTGAGGGCCTCCTCAAACAGACAAAACCCAGAGATCACACAAGAATGACCTCCTCCTTCCTTTCCGATGTGCTGGGATCATGGCCAGTTCCTCACGAGGGCTACCCAGGCAGGTCCTAAAATGGCAATCCTGCCTTAGTCACTAAGTAGCCTTCCAGTAGCCGCTGTACCAGACCTGTGCCATGAGGCCCAGCTTGGATTTTCCTATGACTAACATTTCAGGTGCCTAATTAAAGTGTACTAAGTGTTACGTCAAATGGAAATGCATAGACTCAGCCACATTTTAGATGTGACGTTGCAGTCACATGAAGTCACCGACTCCCCACACTAATTACAAGCATTTGACTCTGACCACACAATGAAGGACATTAGCGACAGCTACCTGACTACCGAGGAGCTCCAGTACTCGCAGGTGTCAGGGGCTGCGTTTTTGGTTACTAAGTTATTACAGATACGTCAGCTCAGTGTGAACCCTGCTGGGGGGGGTACAAAACTTCCATAGTTCAGAGGCTGCCAGCATTAGACCTGAGGTTTCCACGGAAGCCTCAAATTTTCTTTAATTAGTAAGAACGTTTTTCTAAGGATTTCCAAAACCTTAACCTCTGCTTAGGAAAACATGAGAAACTACTTTGAAGACATTTTTATTTGTCTCAGGATTCGATTTGCTTGCCTGATGCCCACATCCACATACTCTTTTTTTTTTTTTTTTTTTTTTTTTTTTTTTGGTTTTTCGAGACAGGGTTTCTCTGTGGCTTTGGAGGCTGTCCTGGAACTCGCTTGGTAGTCCAGGCTGGTCTCGAACTCACAGAGATCCGCCTGCCTCTGCCTCCCGAGTGCTGGGATTAAAGGCGTGCGCCACCAACGCCCGGCTAACATACAAAGACTCTTAACCAGCCAGAGGAAATAAGTTTCAAGGCAAATATGTCCTGCTTCCCATTTGACATAGAACAGAAATCAAATTATCCACAAGGTAAGTTGATGGGGGAAGTCCTGTGTATATGTCAATAAAGCACTGCTGGCCAATAGGGAAGCAAGATAGGTGGGACTAGGAGTCCAGGAGGACTCCGGGTAGGAGAAACACAGGGAGTCAAGATGTAACCGCCATAGGGATAAGAAGCCCGGAAACTTTTCCGGTAAGAGAAAATACTTAGATTAGCAATTATGGGATAAATACTTAAGCGTCTTGTGTGTTATTTGGGGACTACAACGAGGCAGAGCCCAGGCAACTGGCAGGAGAAAAACCAAGCCGCTGGCAAGGAAAAGGCATCTCTTTACAGTAAGTTCTCCTAAAATAGGCCCATCACTGACGTCATCAATGGGCACGGGGAAGGCTGAACCGATTCACAGGCCTCAGACACCACTGCCACCGCTGTGTGAAGGTCACCAGCCCAGTCTTGAGACACATGAGCTCATGGCACACAATCCCTCCATGCAGCCAACAACTCGCCAGCTGCCTATGGAGTCTGCAGCATCTGATGCTTTGTAAAACAGCATCATGGGCTGGGGAGACGGCTCAGCCTGAAGGCGCTTGCTTCAAACCTTATGACTCGAGTTTGATTCCCAAGACCTCACAGCGGAGCAAAGTAGTTTCTACAACTTGTCCTCTGACCTCTACACAGACCTCGGCTATACTGAGAATTCTAGGCCAGCCAGAATTCATTCAAAAATGAATACCAGCCAGGCATGCAAGCAGAGGCAGAAAGAGTACCCCAAGTTCAACGCTAGCCTGGTCTACATGGCAAGTTTGGCCCAGCCTGGGCCACATAGTGAGACAGTGAGATCGTGTCTCAAAACACAAGCAAGGTGACGAAATCTCATAGGCAGTCAAACTAACCTATTTCTTATACAAACATTAAGAACGAAACAACTGTAATGTGGTCTAAGTAACGCACGTTTAGGAATCCCAATTCTCGACTTACGGAACTGTTGAAAAGGAAGATAATAAAGGCACACAGTAACAGAAAACAGGCGTTTCGTGGCCCGCCCGAGTGCTGCACACAGAATTAAACTCATGCAATGTTGCGGCTGAGATACCTGCCAGCCTCCAGGAACCCAAATTACAGACAGGAACCCAAATTGTTCAACAACAGAAGACAAAACAAAGCATTAGAAGGACAAACACTAGGAACCTCACAGCACCCTGAGACGGGGGACCCAAAGGCATACATGGCTGACAGAGGAGCTGACAACAGAGCCCTCTCCCTAGAATATCCCTCAAGGGTTTCACTGCCCAGAAAAGGAAAGGGCCCAGGCAACGCGAGGTTGTCAGAATGCTCTCCTCCAGGCACGGGGCCTCAGCTGAGGTTCCCAGCGCCCACCACAGTGGAGTAAGCCTGTGAGCCCTGCAGCTGGGCAGGCGGAGTCACAAGACCCCTGGGGTGTGCTGGCCAGACAGTCCATCCTACCGGTTAACTCCAGCTTCAGTGAGAGACTCCGTCTCTCACACTCACAGACACACACACATACATACACACACACACTCACGATATGTAAACATACATTTTAAAAATCCAAAAAAAAAATTCCCCCCCTCCAAAAAAAAGATCCAAGGGAAAAAGAAAGTGAACAAAAGCAGAAAGGACACACTTTATTTCCCCTTTAAAGTAAAACTTAAAACACCAATTAAAAACCGGCCATATCTTGACCATGGCTAGAAAAACAGTACAGTACAAAATACTACAGCCACCCAACAGGACACAGAGCTGCTGGTAACTCAAGATTCCGTACAACCTGCCCACTCTGCACCTGCTGTCCTCCCCGGCTCCTCCCCGGCTCCTCCCCGGCTAAGAGTGTATCTGGCTCAACTGCATTCCTTGAAATTTTCTTTCTATCGTGACTTCAAGCTGAAATAAACAACATTCTCAAATGAAAACTACTTCTGGTAGGCAGAACTTGCAGACCTGAACTGCTCCCGAGGACTTCATTTCAATTTCATTAAGGGGCTGCAAGCCCGAGCAGTGTGGCATACCTCAAGAAAAAAGTTAACCAGGTAGGGGTCCTGTTTCAGCTTCGCACACACGATGCACAGGAACTGGATCTCCTCGTTTTCCGTCGGCGTTGCAAGGACCTCACCACAGAGTCGAATTAATTTCTGTCAAAATAGTTTTTTAAACTTTAAAACACTCTTTGCAATATTATGGAGGTAAAGTAAAAAGAAAATGTATAGAACTTTACAGAGAAACATATATATATATATATATATATATATATGGTGAGGTATGGAAAAAACCCAAATGTTTGCTAATCTTCATGCTATCAGAATAATTTCCAATTCAAAATTACTTGTACACAGAATTCAATGTGCTTTTAATCTGAAGTCAGGGAGGTGGGTACCTGCACAGGCCTGTGGACATTGATGTGTGGAAGCAGGGGCTGCCGGATTCTTCCCAGAAGCTTGGTGTAGAACAGTAAAACCTGCTGCTTCATCCCCGGAGGACACTGTGCACAGGACAGATAACACAGGCAGATGTTCACAACAGGACAGACCAGGTCTGTCAACATAGCCCTACGCAAAGTCAATGCCAGTGGCCAGGTAATGACTTAGCCCTAATGAAATTTCCCATTAATGGTCCTGACTGGCATTCTAGAAACACAACTATACACCTGAGATCATGCGTGGCACATGGGAGCACAGCCTCGGGGAATCACACACCAGGGGAAGCATGCAGTATCGAGACCAGCATGCTTCAGGCACCGCCAGACTGGTTACGGCTGGGACAACACGGGCCTACGAGAGCAGGCTGACGCGCGAAAGGCTTATCTCGTTACTTACAGCAACGAGCAGTTCATAACTAATACACAGACATTAGTAAACGGGCCTCTTGTGCATTGACTCCTTTAAGCTAACGGCAAAGGTATTTGGATTATAAGAGCATAAAGAACATTACTAGGGAAGTTCTCAGAGCATTACTAGGAAGTTCTCAGAGCATGCTGGCTACTTTGCTGGAAAGCAGTGATCCTGATGATCACTCTGGATTACAGGGACATGAGTCAGCTAAGTGATATGCCCTGTAATAAAGTGGGTGACACGGCCGGCATGCAATTACACAGTCGTGAGACGTGTATGTCTGAGGGTCATCACAGGCTGCTATCTGGAAACAACCTAAAATGTAATCTTCAGCACGGTGACCTTTTTAAGAGAACAACCATCTTGTATCATTCAGATAAAATGCTAACGATATTTATAATCACTTGTATCAGAAACAAATTTACTGGCAGGACAGCCACTACCATCTTGCTGAAACATTAAACTAATTTAATTCAGTGCTGTAAAAGCCCTCACTCCAAAGGATGGGGCCAAGGGAGCGTGACGCGGTTCATGTTCTGAGAGGCAGGCTCACCCCTTAGAAAGGGGTTCTTAACTCAAATGCACCTCAAGTAAACTGGGGGTACTACAGACTTCCTTAAAAAAGTGTCTTTAATTTACATAATTACAACTCTGTGGTATTCAAATGACTATTGTTTCATTTTAGTCTTTTACATTACCGAAAGTCACAGAACCACTGACTTTTCGAGGGAGAGGGGACCCCACAATCATTTCCAGCCCCCCGAACCTGCAGTTCAAACGACACAGGTCACACCCGAGTACAGGTGTGCAGTGGGTAGCACTGTGGAGCTTGTAAACACTATGGTATCTGCACCACCACAAAGGCAGCTGACGCATTCTCAGAGCACGCCCTGTAGCTAAGGATGCATGAATTTGAAGCTTTTGTGGCAAAAAATACTATTTCTGTTATAATATCAGATTTGCAAAGATTTTTCAAAACTCGTTAGGCCTAAAACTTGTATTGCACCCACCATGATGGTTCAGTGAATTTCAGAGTAACCAAAGATGACCCTTTTAGCGCCCGGGTCTCTTACGGCACAACTGGCGTGTGGTTCTCATCCCCTCTGACTGTGAGTGCATGCACTTGAGTTTATCTTCCCAAATGTTACCCTGGGATTCTAGGCAGCTAAGCAGGAGTGTGGTCAGAGCTCTGGTAGCTCTGCTCTCTCTATGGATGCTGCACAGGACACACAAATCGCCCATGTCCCCAAGCTTAGGCCAAGCACCGTCAGGTGCCATTACTATCTCTGTACTTGAGGTGCCCGCCTGGAGCTTTGCCTGCATTACGTAGAGGGGGTCGGGGACTTACGTCGGCTTTCCCTAAGGTGTATAATGTTTCCAAGATCTTGTGGTGGAGCAGGTATTCCATACATGGCCCGGTCTCTCCAGACTCTCGCTCATTTTCTTCCTGGACCAGTATGTCTAACATCTGATCCAGGTGGGACGGGATGTTCGTATCAGTCACCGGGGCTTTATCATCTAAACAACAGAAAAATCATCATCAAATACTGAGACACTTCTTAAGCTTCCCGTGTACAACTACATGATCCTCTTTTTCCTCCGTTCCAACTCTGACTGAGTGGAGTCCTGATCCACACGTGTGAGGTGTGCTCACAATGTGGCTGTCTTTGTTAAACAGCATAACAGTGATCCATGGCCTGGAACGTATCTTGTCACTGAATACTCCTCTATTATCATTTAGGAATGGCCTCTGAAAGGGAAGACTTGACTACCGGCTCCTAGGTGATCAATGTCCCTGTGTCCCCTGAACACGCTTCTGCCGGCAGTACCTCCTGCTCTCCTGCTCAGAGCTCGGCTCACTTAGAGCCCAGGTCAGACCCTGCCCCCTCTGACTCCCTTTCTCTCCGTCCTCTGTCTATCCCAAGACTCTACCTGGCTCGGCATTTGTCCCTCCCTAGATAACGTGCACACCTGCTTCTGCTACTAGATAGAGACAAGATCCTTTAAAGAAGAACGCATTTCCTTAAAGCCCCAAGAAGGTTAAAAAAATATATCAATAACAAAAACTAGCAGTAATATTAAAATATGGCGCCTCTCAACAACAACAAAAAACAAAAACAAAAAACCTCTGCAGGCCAACCGCTACACATGAGGCACTCTCAGTGCATGTAAACTTACTTTACATCTGAAGGGGCCACACCATGGCCTTCACTTACTGCAGAGCTACTCAGGCTTCTTGTCTTGCAAATAAGAATTACTTCTGACCTCATGGGCTTGCCAAACATCACTCTCATTTCCTCTCTTGTCTCATCTGCAGATCCGCTACTGTGACTGCACAATCCTCCAGAGAGCAGGCGGTCAATCCCAACGCACAGACGAGTCTCTTTTTTAAGAGACTAGAACTCAGCCAGGAGAGTGCTCTACAGCCAAGCTACCCCATCCCAATACCTTACATCTTCTGAAGAAATGTCAGCGGGGGCGAGGGGTGAGGCGGGGGAATGGGGGTGGGGTGTACTGGGGAGGCGGCTCAGTGGGCAGAGTGTTTGACACTCAAGCATGAGGACCTGGGCTCAGATCCCAACACCCACGTAAAAACCAGGTGAGGTGCTGTGTCTGTGATCCCAGTCGTGTGGGGAGGGAGAAGATGGGTAGGTCTTGGGAAGCCACTGGCCCCGTCAATCTAGCCAGTCAGTGAGCTTCAGTAAGAGACCTTGTCTCGAAAAGGAAGGCAGAGAGGGCCAACAAGATGGCTCAGCAGGCAAAGCTGCTTTCTGTGCAAGCCTGGAGACCCGAGTTCAATCCCCGCAGAGGACCAACTCCACAAGGTTGTATTCTGGTCACTACACATATACCAAGGCACGCTTATTCATCATACACACACGCACACACATACACACACACACACACACACAGTGGGGTTGCGGGGGAGGAGGGGAGGGACAGGGACAGAGAGGGATGGAGAGACTGACTGACTGAGGAACCACGGGTATGGCCTTCTGTCCCCCTCTCAGGTCTTTCTTGCACAATTCTCCTCAGGAGGACAAGCCACACGCTGTCTACACATTTTCTACCCATTTTCTCCTCAACTTACTCACAGATCATCTTTCCTTAGTGCCATTCAAACAGGGCTCCTCAAGAACACCAGTGAGGGGTTGGATGGATGGGTCAGCAGGAAAAAGCACTCTGTGAGGGCCTCTCCAGACAAACATGGCTGAAGGGCAACATGGTCTTGTCTAGACTGAAGTAGCCACCTGCTCACCCCACACCAAAACACACACTGCCACCCCCCACCCCCCATCCTGCCTGATTCCTTTCCCCTTAACACTTAGCTGACCCACGACATGGCTGTTTCCGCTTACTGTGTGCCTACCCAGAGTCAGTATCTACGCTCCCTCAGGGTAGAGCTGCTGTGACTGCTGTGTGTGTGGGACTGCCTACTCAGTTCCCAGACACTGCCTAGAACAATGCCCAACAGGGAGATGTAAGACCCTAAAGGAAGACGCAAAGGGAAAAATCGCTTAAAGTTAAAGATGAAATACCTGAAAACCCATCTTGAAGCAGATCACAGGCACGGATGTTCCTTACCTGACGTTTCTATGTAGTAGTGGGTAATAGCCTTCCAGTGATAGACAAAGTCTTCTTGCAGTGGAAGAGACGGGGCAAGCTACACAAACAGGAAACACAGACTTAGAGCGAGGCGTTACAAACTCCTGCAAACTTTAATATTATACTTGTCTGTGATGCAAGAGAAACGTCAAAACAAGGGTAAACTTGACTTCATGTCAGGTATCAAGTGAAATCAAAGTGAGCTGAATCCAACGATGCAAAGTGATGTATTAAGAAAACCACCTTTATCAATACTATTATTATTCAACTACAGCATTCAACTTTCCCCCTGTTCTCTGTTATCGCATAGCTTCAAAGGTGACTAAACCAAGGCACCATGCCTCTGTGACAGGGACTGTAAAACCACATCACTGATAACCAGAGGTCTTCCTACCTGGGACTTTGGAAGGGGAAAGGGTGATGAGCAGCTGGCAACAGCTGACACATCAGCACAGCAAACACCAGCGCCGCCAACACCGCCAACGCCGTCACAATCAAATTAAACCGCTCCCTACTGCTTTTCTGTGTAAACCTGGGCCAGTGGGCAGTGTGTATTTTTAGCAAAATAACTGCATGAACCGTTACCAACTCAAATTCTACCAAATGCGTTACATTGCAACCTTTGAAACGCACTTCGTAAGTCTTAAGGCCAGATTTGCAGCCCTTCAGCCACCTGGCTGCAAGTGGACCAGCATTAGGAATGCATGTTAAATGGAAGGAAGGGGGAGAGGAAGGGAGGGGGGCATCCTAGGTGTCTTCACCTTCTGTCAGAAACACAGCTCTGACCTACAGCAGGTGCAGTGTAGAGGCTGACGGCTAAACTGCATTTCATACTCCTTCCCGAAGCGCCGAGAGAGCCCAGCCCTTCATCATGTGGCCAGATGCTGTCATGTACAAAACTCACACTTGAGAGTGCAGTTTTTTTGAGTACACATATGCACACGCACACACACACAGACAGACACGCACACACACACACACACACGAACATATGTGCACACATCTTCATCATGTCTTAAGTCTATGGTTTTGTGTTGGGTCGAATTCACAGCTTCTCACAGCTGCAGGTTGGGGACACCCACCAAATGACCCGCTGATCTCTCCTATACTTCCACTGGTATCTCGGTGACCTTTGGTTTCCCATCTAGTGACCTTGAAGTTGACAACTCTGTCAACACAATTTCTCAACTCTTGTGCAACTCACAGGTCAGTCACAGACACGTTAAGTGGTTCAATCCACAAGGTGAAATACATTTATGAAAAGAAAATGGAACTGAAGAACGCCAAGCTTCTTAAGGCTGATTTTTCCTACATTTGTGTGTGTGCAGAGGACTTGGCAGAGAAAGTAGATAGGCAGCTAAGCTTTGCTTAGCTTTATGGAGTCACATTGTCTAAAAAGGGACACTGGAGGAGGTGACTGCGGCTGTGATGGAGTAACGATTTCACCTTTAGGTGGTTACACAGTATCCTTCCTCCAGCTTTGCTTAGCTTTATGGAGTTACATTGTCTAAAATGGGACAGACACAGGAGGAGATGACTGCGGTTGTAATGTAGTAACAGTTTCACCTTTAGGTGGTTACACAGTATCCTTCACAGCAGGTCCCCAGACTGGAGGCTTTGCCAGTGTGTATGGGTAGCCTTGCCATAGAATGCCATCAAATCCCAGGCAGGAGGGCGCTATTACTCCAGTGCAGGAGGGCAACGGCGGAACTGTTCTGAATAGCTAATAACTTAGAGGGGCTACTTTGCGAGACTGCAGTCAACTTGACTTTTCTGTTACTAACAGGCAAATAACCTGCTAGCATTGCATAAAACAATCATCGTCTGAAAGGCAGCAGGAGACTGTTGGAGATTAAATTATCAAAACTCTCATCTCCATAGCCACTCCAATTTGCCAGGATACCTATCTGTGACTTCCGGTTCTCCTACCTGGGACTTCCTGTCCTCCTACCTAGGACTTCCTGTTTATCCTATCTGGAACTGCCTCCTCTCTAGAAAGTTTCCCCTCTCCACTTGTAAGTGCTGGGGCTTCGTCCTAGCCCTGACCATCACTTAAATGCTTCTCTCCCTTAGGCTGGACCATCCATCTCATCATTTAGACTCCTGGTTTCAAGTCAGTGACGGTGCCGAATCAGTACCAAACTATTTATTCCATGAAGCACGGGTGACCCACCAGTTACCGACAATTGATATGTAGTCATGCAGTCACACGCACATTAATGAATCTCTATTCATTGGTGGAACTAGAGATCAAACCAAGGGCCTTAAGGAAGCAAACACTCCACTATCAGGCCACACCCACTCCACCATCAGGCCACACCCCCAGCACTCCATTTTTTGTTTATATTGCAGCAGGGTCTCACTATATTCCACGTAGTCCTTGAACTGGAACTCGAAGTCGTCCTGCCTCAGCTGCCTGAGTGCTGAGATTATAGGTGTGTGCCATGCCCGCCACACCCAGCCTAAACTAGTGCATTTTAAATTCTCATTCAGAGTTCCTCTTTCACTCAAACTCCCATCAGAGACCAAAATACCAGTTACGTGACTTGCCTTAGGTAACAGAGCTTTCTGCTGGACACCTGGACTCTGTCTGCGTGCATAAAAGAACATAAAAGAACCGACTGCACAAGGTCTTCCGGCCACCACCTTTACTTTAATGGTCCACAAAATGCACATCCTAAAGGATCTTTTGGAGTGCTCCTTTCCACCCCAAACTTATGTCTTTGTTGTGTTGTTTGTTATTTGTTTGAGGCAGGGTCTCCTTTAGCCCCAGCTGGCTTCAAACTCACTATGTAGCTGGCCTTGAATTCCTGGCCCTCTGGCTTCTAGCTCCTGAGGTTCCAGGGACTTCAGTATTATCCTTTTCTGACCTCTAGAGGCACCTAGCATGCACTAGGTTCATATACATACATGCAAGCAAAACACTCATACACATGAAATAGAGTAAATCTAAAAAGGTTAAAAAAAAAAAGCAGGGGTGGGGGGGTACTGAGATGGCCCAGCAGTGAAAGGCACTTGCTGGTGTCCGACCACCTGTGTGTAATTACCCAGAACTCACAGGGTGAAAGGTAAAGACATTCTCAGACTTCTACCTGATCAAGTGAAGTGGTCACACACACACACACACACACACACACACACACACACACACACTTAAAAAAACAAAAGGTCATGATAAAAATGTTTAGAAAAGGCCAGGGTTGGGGTTGCAGACTGTAGTATAACGATCCCCTGGCATTTACCAAGGCCCTGGGTCAAACCCTCAAAACCAGAAACTAAACAGAAAACCAAGCACTGCCTGTGGCCCAAGCACTTGGGGGGTGGGGGCTGGGGCAGAGAGGTCAGGAGGTCAAGGTTATCTTTGGTTGCTTAGCAAGTTTGAGGCCCTGTCAGGGACCTTGAATCAAAAACAAAAAACCCCAAACTCCTTACCTAACCTCATCTAGATGAATATATGTCTGACCAACCTTAAAACAAACAAACAACGAAAAAACAGAAACAAAACAGAAGGCTTATCTGACTGAATATGGACACTTAGACAATGCCAAAGGGTCAGGTGGGATGGCATGACTCTGAAGACAGACACAATGACAACTGAAAAGAGGTCCAGTCACCTGCTGGCCTGGGATCCCTTCCCAAGTCTGCAACCCAGATGAGTCTCCTCATTGGTATGCTGCATCAGAATGTAATTAAGGAATGGGAAGACTTGTTTTATGGATTTAAAAAAAAAAGTAAAAAGGTCATCATCATAACCAGGAACTAATTTGTAGTTATGAAAAGCATTCAACTACCAAAGGATGGCTTATTTATCATCATCTAGGAGTTTTCCCCCTTCTTGAGGGGGCATCAAAAAAGTATTCTTTTAAGGGATGAAGGACCAAGTCTATAATCCAGCCCTTAGCAGATGGAGGCAGGAAGGTTTGCAAATTTACAACTCTAATTTTGTTAGCTGACCCTACACATCAATGTGGTATTTGATTTTTTTTTGTTTTTCTTCTTTAAAAAGTGATGTGAATTTGAAACTGATTAGGTCAGGGCCAGCCTGGGCTACACGAGACCCTATCTCAACAAAAAAAGCAAAGAGGAGCCAATCAGATTTCAGGAGGTTACTTTCTCTTAGTAAATTGTGTGGGTGTCAGTTCAGCTTAGAAACCAGCACTGAGCAAATGAACTTGACATTTCCACAGGCCAGATATTTATTTCCTGGACTAGGTAAACCTGGTGAACTCATTCTCCTCACTGATCCAAGCAAGACAGAGACACTGAGTGAGCACAGAGTCTCACTCAGGTAATTTGGAAAATGTTAATGACACAAGCAATTATAAAAAGATTACAACAACAGAAAACACAGGCCTTGGGACAAAAAAAGAGTCTATAAACCAAAAACCCTAGATAGGTTTGGTGACATGCCTAGAACTTAGCACTCCAGAGGCTAAGCCAAGAAGTTCAAGGCCAGCCTGGGAAACTTGTTAACACTGGATCTCAAAAAATAAAATAGAATAAAATGAAATTCAGTGGGAGAGCGTTTGCCTACAACATGACAGGCCCCAGGTAGTTTAATTCACGTAACTTATTCCTAATTACCTTACTTATCATTATATTGTTTGATGATTCTTTAGTGTAAGTATAATTCAAAGCGTCAATATAACTGTTGTTAAAACTTCTAAATTATTTCGCATATGCTTCTGCAGGCTGACTCTATACTAAGCAGGAAAAGTAAAAGCTGCGTCCTGCGCCCTGGCCCCTCCACCCACATGTCAACACTGCTCCTCACCCTCCTTTCTTTCCTGGTTTGCTGTGTCACCTGGGGGGAGGGGGACGACAAAAACAACAAAACAAAACAAAAAAACTATTCCTCGTACTACGTAACTGGCACTTGTATTAAAGTTTTGTCTCCACAACTGAAATTTACAACCCTAATTTTGTTAGCTGACTCTTAACATCACCCTGGTACTTCTTCTTTCTTTTTCTTTCCTTTAAAAAGTCGTGTGAAGTTGAAAGTACTATTATTAAGTCATTCTCAACCTGTACGCAAAATGTCATTATTATTATTTTTTAAGGCGAACACTCATTTAACTTTCGTCACACTCAACCCAGAACGAGCAAGTACAACAACGCAACGGGCCGTGTGGAGCCAGGCGTTCTCTTTTAGGTTCTTGGGGGGTCTGTGAGGAGGGCTTGAGTGAATGTCCCTCCCCTGTGTGTGCGCCGCTTAGGATCAGCCTCCGAGCGCAGCGGCTGCAGGCTGCGGCCAAGAGCGTCCGTTCCGGGAAAGCGCATGATTACAAAATAAAAGGGGGGAAAAAACAAAACAGATGGCGGTGAGCCGGGCGATCGCGGACCTGCAAACTCCTGCAGACCCTCCGTCACCCAGGCCCGGCCGAGGTGGGCCGCCGGGGCCCGGGCGAGCAGGCGCCGGTTACCGGCGTCACCCGGGCCCCGCGGTCCCCGCCGCTCCTCTCCCCGCGCCAGCCCAGCCCGCGGGCCCCGCCGTTCTATTGTCTGGCGCGGCGCTGGCCAGGAGGCCCCGGAGGTTAACGGCCAGGAGGCCCCGGGAGCCGCCCGGTCCCCGGCGGGAGGGCAGAGGCCGGGCGAGCAGGCGGGCGAGCGCGCAGGCCTCCCCCGCAGCCTCCCCGCCCCCCCTCCCCACGCCCCGCGCGGCCTCACCGCCTCCACGGCGTGCTGCAGGATGGACGTGAGCTTGGAGAACATCCTGTCCCGGGACTGCAGCAGCCTCTCCCGGGACGACCTGGAGAGCTCCTCGATGCGCCGCCGCCGCCCCTGCTGCGGCTGCCCGGGCCGCTCCAGAGTGAAGGCGGGTGCGGGCGGGCCCGGGAGGGGAGCGGAGGAGAGGGCGGAGGGCGAGCGGGAGGCGCGGCGGAGGCTCGGAAGGCGCGGGGCCCGCGGCGGGCGGCTCCGAGGACGCTCGGCTGGGACTCGGGGGCCGGCGGAGCTGCTCGGAGGCGGCGGCGGCGGCGGCGGCGCGGACACCGTGGCAGAGGCTCGGGCTCTTCCGGCTCCGCTGTGCCCGCCGCGGCCTGCAGGGGGCGCTGGCGCGGCCCTGGGAAGCCCTGGCCTCCGCTGCCTGCGGCGCTGGACGTGGGGCGGGGCGGGGCGGGGCGCGCAGCGGCTGGCGGGCGGGGCCGGCTTTGCAACCGGACTCTGCTCGGGCTCGGGTGTCCGTGAGCCGCGCAGGGTTAGGGTTTTGCAGACACGCGTTGACCATGCGAGTCTGGAAGGCCGCCAGGGAAATTACCCGCCTCCCTAAGGCCGAAAGGAGCGATGGGTCGTCCCCCTCTCCCCCGTGCTAGGAGGCGGGTGAAAAGGCTCGGCTTGCACCGCAAGATAGCTTAATCTTATCAAAACAGGAAGTGTCCAGTGGACACGTGGGACGAGGTTAAATAACAGGGGAGAGAGTGACTTGCGAGGTTTCAGTGTGTGGTTCCTGGAAGAGAAAAGGATGCCGGAGACGGATGAGAGGAGCTGCAGTGTGATCCGCACTGAGCTGCAGGCTTCGGGGAAAACGCTGTTCAACAGCGTTTTAATCCTAGAGGGAACACTGAACCGCTCGGACAATTTTAAGTTGGTTGATAACTCCTGAGAGAAGCCTGGAGAACATTGCTGTAAGCCGGTGTCAGCATTTCGCCCAGAGGTTCGACCGGGCAGTTCTGCATTAGAGTGGAGTCTATTTCTCGTAACCATTGGTGAAAATACCTATTTATAGTAGACTCCCTTGAACAGGACAGATAAGGGGCAGAAGAGGTCTCCACGGTTCTTAGCCGGGTTAAGAAGCCAGGCCCTGGAGCTGTATGTCTTTTGGGGGGCCAGTTCTGTCACTCTTGGGTGTGGGGTACAGGGGTTTTCACAGACCCCTGTTGTCACAGTTCCCCAACGTTGTCATAATATTAGTAACAACACAGGATGGGAAGTCAAGTCTTGTCGTCTTCCGTTCTTTAGTTGTACTGTGCTCGAAGGCCTGTAAACTTGACCTCATTTTCTGGCAACTGAAATGCTGGCAACAGCCTCCATTATTTGTTGAATAATGAAATGTGTTCCTTTCCAAACTCAGGCTTCTTGTTCCTGCTCCAACCCAGAGTACATAATGTTTATTATTATTATTATTCATACTATTTAAGAGGTTTGGCCATTTTATTAACTATAATAATTTTCCTGGCCTAATTATATGGCATTTTGCATTTTCATAATGCCTTAACAACCACAGCTTGTGTGAGGGGATACGTGTAAACAGGCCAAGAGTTGTGTACAATGGGCACTTAACTTTGCATACTTATTACAAGCACAATAAAAATATATATTTGGTTCTGGGTCAATACCAGTACTCAATGATTTATCTACCTGGTCCCTAATTTCTGAGATGCTCGAGTTAGCTAGAACTGTAACCAAGCCGGTGGTTGTGTTTCCTGTTCTCACCCCGGAGCGCTTGGAGAGACACTAATGTAGAACCTGCCTAATGCGCAGATGCACTTGTACTCACCTCAGCAACTGATTTGAGAAAACTCAGGAAGAAGCCTTTCTTACCCTTGAAAACACTGTGGTTGCCTGAAACGCCTTCACTGGGACGTTGTGTGTTTCTTCTCTTTGCTTAAGGCAAATGGTAAGTTGTCGCCCTTTTTGAAGACTGAAATGGGGCTGGAGCAATGGCTAAGAACGCTTGCTGTTCTCCCAGGGCACCCAAGTTCTGTTCTTCACACCGGCTTCGGGTGGCTCACCACCTCCTGTTGCAGGGGATCCGGCACCCTCTTCTGCCTTTCGTGGGCATGTGCTCATGTGTGTACTTGGAAGAAGCAAACACACACACAAATAAACGCAGAAGACCTGGGAAACTGAAGCCCAAGTAGGATGAAGCTGAAAAAAAAAAAAGACGAAAGAAAGCTAGATAGATAATGCTAATTTTCAGTGTTTGGTGACTTCTGGTTCAGTAGGTGTTTGGGAAATAAGAAAAAATAGCAACATTCACTTCACAAACCCTGTTAAACCGGAGTGAAAGAGTGTATCCTCTACAAACCCAAAAGGAAAAGGAAATAGGTAGAAGAGACAGCAGCAGGGCCCCGGGGAGCTGGGAGACAGCTGGAAAGGGGTTAAAAGCCAGGAATCAAAGCACTGTGTGAATTCCAAGAACTTCTCATGGTTTAGGAATTAGTAACGGAAAGTGGTTTGCGTGTGAGCTGTCTCGGAGGCTCGTGTTTGAACACTTGGTCCCCAGCTGCTGCACGGGAGAGTTAGAGAACCTTCAGGAGGCCGGGCTTGCTGGAGGAAGAGCACACTGTGAGCCTGGCTTTGAGATTTTGTAATTGGGCCCCTCTTCTGGTTCCCTGTGAGCTCCCTGGGTAAAACTGGATTTCCTGACTGCTAGGCTAGCCTCCAGCTCAGGTTGTCATCCTTCCCCTGCTATCACAGACTGTCCTGTCTGGAGCCATAAAGCTGCCCTTCTCTTCCCAAGTATCTCTCAGTTGTGGTGTTCGTCACAACCCCCAAAAGGCAACAGAAGAGCAAATGGCAGAAACCAGGATGCAGAATGGTGGTTCCGGTGAAGTTGGCTGAGAATTTAGCAGACACCTCCCCCTCCCCCCATCCCCTCCCACCCCACTCCCCCTGTGAGACACCCTCCCTGCCCTTCCGCAGTCCTGGCATAAGATGGCTTAACTCAGGAGAGGGTGGAAAGGCCATATGGGGACAGTGGGGGAGAAAAGAATGGAGTGAAAATGGACAGTGAAATGGACACAACCCAGAGCTCCTGCCATGTGCTCAGAGAGCTCACTCAGTCCTATGCACCTCTCCTAAATGGACCACAGGGTCATCAGAAATATGAGGGAATGAATGTGTGTAAGATCCATGGTAGAGACCAAAGAAGGATGTGAGACAGACTCAGAAGAGAGAGTTTGTATCAAACAGATGGAGACTAAAACTTAGGGAAAGACAATGTTACCACCACTCTCCAAGAACAAAAGAAGACGCTGCATGAATGGAAGGAATGCTCTGCTGTTTCTAAAAGCATCATCAGAGCACAAAGGAGGAAGGCTTAGAAACCAAAAGGGTATCAATGTGCATCATTTGGGTATATGCCTCAGAGGGGAATTGCTGGATCGTGTGGTAGACTGATTCCCATTTTCTGTCTGTAACTCCCTCAAACTCTCAGAAATCTGAGGTCTCCTTTTGGCCTCCCTGGGCACTAGACCAGCACATGGTGAAATATACATGTAGGTAAAAGGACAGCCATACACCTAAAAGTAAATACATTCTTCAAAGGTACCCTAAGCGTATTCTTCAAAGAAAGGAAGCAAACAATGACAGCATCCTCACGCCTCTGTGAAACAGGAAACTGGGAGTTTGGAGGAAGGACCAAGGCTTTCATAACAAATTCTGTAGGAGGTTCCAGGCGAAGCTGTGCTGGCGTAATGCAAAGTTTGTTTGGCAAGGGCAGAAGTGGGGGCACTTAATGCTTCTTACAAAAGTTCAGACAAGCTCATAACTGGTGGGAGTTACTAACCTGTCAGGAGGAGCAAGGTGGACTCAAAAACCAAGCTCAGGTCAACCAAAATTTTCAGATCACAAAAAACAGGAATGAGAAGGAGAAGTCAACTATTACTGAATTTCATCTTGGATGAGGTTAGTAAAAATGTCATTGTTGAGAGAGTGACTATGAAAACATAGACATGGAGGGGCTTGGGAGACAGCCCTGTTGATAGATAAAGTGCCTTCCACACAAGCTCGGGGACCTGAGCTCAAATCCCAGGAAACAGAAGAAAAAGGCAGGTGCTGGACCAGCCACTTCCAATCCCACGGCCCGGAAGTGGAGACAGGAAGTCCCCTGGGGCTTCCTGGCCAAGAGACTTTGTCCAGTCAGTGAGCCCTAACCCAATGAGGGACCCTGTCCGTAAAAACAAAGTGGGGAGCTCCAGAGGTTGGCCTCTGGCCTGCATGTACACACGCATGCTCACTTGCAGCACATGTGAGCAATACATGTACACAGAAGAAAACGGAAGAAATGAGGGGAAAGGGGCAGATTTAGTGTGTAGGTTTCACTAGCTGTACGGCTGCTTCTCTGTAGAGTTCCCTGGCTCCAGGTAATACATTTGACTTAAGAAGTTAGAAGAGAGATCAAAGCTTAGAGAAAAAAAAAATATGAGAATCATCTCAGGGAGGCAGTAACCAAGATATAAGAGTAAGGATAGTTCAGTAAGCAGTATAGCTAAAGGGGGGGGGGGAAGACAATACAAATGAGAACCCCTGTAACAAAGAACTGGAAAAGTCTGGGACAGGGAAATGTATTTTTTTGAAAGTCCAGAAAGAAGTATCCAATTTTGAGCAGCTGGTTCATGCAGTACCAGTGACCTTGGTACTGGCCACAAGCCTGGTCTGCTGTAGGTAATTCTACAGTTGTAACACGTATAGTCTATATATAAACTGTCCCCCCCAAAAGCTCACGTATTTAAGGTATGGGTCCCCTCCCAGTACAGCCAGTGACTGGATCATGAGAGCTCTAACTTCTTCAAGTGGCTTAATTCCTTGGTTGGGTCACTTTATGGTGGCTCCTTCATGAGGTGGGGCCTAGTTGGACAAAGTAGGTCACTGGGGCTGTGCCCGGGAAAAATGACACTTTGTCTACACCCTCCCCAATGCTCCACCCTGCTTCTCCTACATTTCCATGCTCACTGTTTCTGTTTCCTAGCTGCCTGCTCTGTCGCAGCCTCTCTCCCCGTGATGAATGTTTCATCCCAGGACCACAGCGCTGACACCAAAGTGACCTTAGGCCAAAGCCTCTGCAACTGTCAGCCAAGATAAATCTCCCCCCTTTTTAAGTCGCTCATGTCACAGAAACAAGAAAAACCAGGTGGATCTCAGAAACATAGCCTAAAACCTGAAGACCCTGCTGTTGGTGTCACTCCGGGCTGTGGAATAATCTTTCTGTACACTGTGAAGATGTGTCTTTACCAAGCCACCC